TGAAAGTAGAGAGATTGCCTATGAACTCTGTCTCCTTGTCTTCTGGTTCTTCACACAGGCAATCCCAGTGGCTCTCGTTTGTTTCATCAGAGCTGTTCTGTAGATAGAGGGGCACAACAGACCTCTTGGTATTGTTTGTTCTGATTCCTAGCAGCCTTGATGCCCTCTATTGCATGTGCATAGAGAAGTTATACAAGTGGTAATTTACCTTAAACAATGTGTGCTACATGTGCTATACCATGCTTCTTACCTTTCAGAAAAGAAGGACCTTTTTTTAAAGGCTACATGAAAGCATTTAATAGAAGGGCTTTAAATTATTTTACTGATTCCAATTTTAAGTTTTGTTCAGGCCATATGTTAATGACTAAAGTATGTCTTTCATATATACACATTTCATTTTCCACAATACTTTCATGTATTTTTTGACTTATTTTGAATGATTATGGATGTATGTATTTTGAAGTTTGATAGTTACTGCCAGCAATATGTGAGAATATTTCCACACATTCTTGACATCACAGTATGTTATCCAACTTTTTGATATTTTTTAATCCGATAGGTGAAAAGTGACATTTAAGTTTTAATTTGCATTTCCTTATGGATGAAGTTACATTTCTTTTGATACTTTTAGGAGCCAATTCTTTGTGAAATATCTGCTTTTATCGTTTGTCCAGCTTTCTTATGGGTTATTAGTACCTTAAATTTTGCTGAATTGAGAGTGAAACATTCCTGATTCCTGCCCTTAAGGACCTAATAGTCTCTAGAAAAAAGAAAGACAGTAAACATACGAATATATAGCAAATTGTGATAAATGGTATGGAAGAGAAGCATTTTATTTTATGAACGAGACCCTAACTTAACAGGATTTGGGTGGGATATGAACAGAGACAATATTGAGAAAGAAAAGGTTGCAGGAAGTGAGAGCTGAGCTCTCACTGGGAGAACTGAAAGAAGCCAGGCCTGGCTGGGATGAAGTGAGCCTAAAGTGGAAAGGACTAATTTGTCATCTATCCCACATACACTCCATCTTTTAGGACAAAACTTAATAGGACTAAAAAGTATATAATGAATTTCATCTATTATGTCGAAGAATTTTAAACAAATTTCATTTTTACTTTTAATAGTCTTCATAAAAAGAATATGAATCTAATAATCTGATAGACGAATGTCTTTAGGCTATAAATTGATTCATTGTGAACCTCCCATCTTTTTGAATTTTCCATTTACCTATTTTTTTTAATTTAAGAATGAATCCCCATACATCATCTTGTATTATTTCATATTTCCCCAGATGTGTGATTACAAATTCAACTAGTTTTCTCCTGTGAAATTAATTTGTGATTCTTTGAAGCTCACTAAATGATGCATTGTTTGCTACTAAGTTGTCTGTAACAATTTCCCCATTAGGGAAAAAAGCTCTTTGAGTGTGTCCTTTTGTGTGTGACCAAATTCCAAATGTGTGGTCGTTGTACGTGGGGGAAACAGTGGCACTCAGAGAAAAAGTGATCTGCAGCTATTTGTGCTTTACGGTAAATTCAGTTTCATTTGGATTAGTTATTTTCTTAAGCTGTTTATTCCCAGTTCTCCAAAATGTTAAAATTGTAGAAATATGGGGGTAAACTAATAATGCCTTTTAGCAGTGGTTAAAAATCATTGCACAATTTTAAAAAATGAAACAGCTTTGGTAATTTTGAAAGTTAGTTCCTGGTTTTCGAATTTCTGGAAAAGCAATATTCTTTTAATGCCCTCATTTCCTCTTTGTCTTTTCACTTTATCAGTGCGTGGCTTAAATGCCTTGATAAACTTTTTTCTCTCTAGATGTTATGTTTATTAGAAAAATCTTAATGCATACATGTGAAAAATTGGCCAGAACCTACCGTTTCTTTTAGAAGAAATTAAGTAATGGTCACATATTTTTGTATTTTGTGTTCTCATGCCCAGATGATGGGTGAACACTAAATAATTAGAAATAGGAAATACCTAAATTCAGATTGTTTTCCTTCGGATTTAGGTATTTCTGAATTTGCTTGAGCATTTTTTAAAAGTCCCGGATGCACACTTACACGGTTATAAGTTATAATTTGTTTGTTTTATTTTTGTCTTAGAATTTACAATACTGTTTGAAGCATGGTGGTTTTTAAAAAATATAGCTCACCTATTAGACATTTTTAAATACAGAGATAAAAATGTAAACTTGTATACTTCTGCAACTTTAGGGTATTTTGCCCCCCCCCCCTTTTTTTGGGCTAAAGAGGTCATGTGACAACTTTTCTAACAGAGTGACATCAGACCAGACCAGTCTTCTAGTGTTCACCATTCTTTTGTCTGGGGTTCAGTGAGTTATGGACTAGGCAAAGGCAGTGGTTCCAATGAAATAGAGGTACTTATTTACCTGATTTAGAGGTGTACTAATGCATAGAGAAGACTGTCATACTTGGTAAAGGGCGGGGGTTGGGGGGCGGCAGGGAAAAAGAAAAAGACCCTCAAGGAGATGAATTGACATGGGCTGCACCAATGGGCTCAAGCATAGGAACAGTTGTGAGGATGGTGTTTCTATAGGGTTTCATTCTGGTTTTGCACAGGGTTGCTATGAGTTAGAACTGACTCAAGAACACATAACATTCATGTGATTATTCTGTTAGGTCATTAGCAGTAATCATTGTCACTGATGGTTGTTTTATGTGATCTATTTTTTTCCATCAAGTATTTGGCCTGCCACGCTAATGCATATTGGTACCACTCATGTGTATATTCTTTTAATTATAAAATTATATAGCAATGCATTGGCAAGTTTAATAATTTTAACATATAATTCACTAAGATGACTGTGTTCATCATGCTGTGCAACCATTACCACTATTCCAAATGATTCTGCCACTGTTAATACAAAATCAGTGCCCCTTTCACTCACTATTTTGTCTTTCTTAGCCATTAATAAGCCTCATCTCTACACATTTGCCTGCTTTTTGTTTGATGGCCAGAGGTTAAGTAACAGCCCCTAACCTGACTTCTCAAGTGCTATGGACTGCTCTTAGCATAAGAGGCAGGTCTGGTCCATAGGCTTCAAACGCACTGCCACAGAGTCTCTTCTGACTCAAAAGAGTTTCTACAGGACAGAGTAGGACTGCTGCTTAGGGCTTCCAAGATCGGAAATCCTCATGGGTACAGACAGCTTCATCTTTTCCCCCCAGCAGCCGTTGGGCTTGATCTGGCAACTTTGTTACCAGCCCAGTGCTTACACACCAGGGCTCCTGTATGGGCTCTGGGGAGCTCTAAACCAGGAAAGTGCCGGAAAGAGAAGAAAAAGAAGCAAGGACTTACTGGCATAGCTCACATCATTGCTGCTGTGAGTTGGCCTGGTGTCCACCCAGCCTGTCATGGCACCTTGGACAGCAGAATGAAATGGTGCACGGAGTTAATCCATCTCCAAGTGGCTAAAATTATGCTAGGATTCCATAGGGTTTTCCGTGTCTGATTTTTAGAACAACCTGCCATGCCTTTCTTCCAAGTCTGTCTTAGCTTGGAAGCTCTGCTGAAACCTGTTGAGCATTTTACTATCGGGCAAGTTCCCACGGACAAATGGTGGTGATTTGTGTATGCAGTGCTTCAGCTGGGAATCGAGCCCACGGAAGCACGGATTCTGTCTCTAAACCACTCAGGATTATTTGCATTAAGTTCATCATTTTAAAGATCTTCATCTTATTTGCTAAGTTCTTGATTTGGGCTTGTGAGAATCTGAGGTTCCATTGCACTTACGGTTTCTTTAGCCACTGTAAATAGTGCTCATATACGCCATATGAAATTATATTAATTGTAATCCTCATAAAAACACATTTAACTAATTTCATTTTTATTTTAAATACAGATTTTGCTTTTGTTTTTGTCCTTTGTTTATAAATTGTGTCCATTATCAGCTTGGTTACTGGTTATATATGGTCATGCATATGTTTGAATAAATTAGATGTTGTTATTACTATGGTTTCAATGTTATGCTTTGTAGGACAGTATTTATCTTTCCTTTGTGCCTCTGGTCTGCTTCAGCTAAATTTGGCTTGGTACTTAGCTATTAGCTGTAGGCATCAGTGATGTATATCCTCATTAAAACAGGTTCTTTTCTTTCTGAAAATTTGCACTATTGTTCATACCTTCTTGTTGGAAACTGAACAATTCTCTGGCACTTTTGAAATTTGCTTAAATTCTTGACTGCATATTTTCTTAGGCACTCTAAAATTATTGAGTGTTTTGTTTTTTTATTTTCCTTCATAGGGAAAAGTATGTTCTTGGAACAGCTCAATTTTACTAGAGCTAGATCTAGTAACCTTTCACGAAATTATGGCAGGAGAGTACCTGATGGATAGATAACGATAGTGCTTGAGGCTTTTTCACAGAATAATGAGAACTAAACTATATAGCCCACAATCTGACCCAAGCGGAGCAAAGTGCTTTCTAATGTAGTCTCTACTCCCGGAGGCTTGTGACATTTGCCAGCGTTACCTTTATTATTATTATTATTATTTATTTTTGGTAGTTTGTCAGCATAATTAACTTATCAGTGTCACAAGGACTAAAGTAACTATCGATTTTTCAATGTAGGTGTATTGAAACAAACACCATGCTTAAAATGCCAGCCTTCAAGTAAACACATGTCAGGAATATACTCAGGGTAAAGCATGCAAGTAGGTTCCGGAAGCGGCAGACGTAAATCAGGTATTGCTCCCCACATTCAAAACCTCGGAGGCTGTGGGAGATGATTCTTCGGTGAAGAGGAAGGGCCTGGGGTCACCTTAGAAGTCACCGGAACTGAGGGTGCTTTGTTAGGGGGAGGCCTGATGTTGAAATTCACTTGCTGATTTGAAATTGAATGTGTGTGTTTAAAACAACTGGTACATACAGTGGTGATATTTGAAGGCTGTGTTCCTAAATATTTATGCTATTTGCAGTTTTTTTCTGAATTTGAAAAATATATTTGTTAATATAAACTCTTAACTGTTTCTCACTAGTTTACTGGAAAACGGTCAGTTTGAAATCGTGACAGGTGGCTGGGTCATGTCTGATGAAGCTGGTTCTCACTATTTTGCCATAATTGACCAACTAATTGAAGGACATCAGTGGCTGGAAAAAAACCTAGGTATGTCTCTTGATATCTTCTTTCTCCTTTGTTTGGGCTACCCCGGACAGTTCATTTGGGAATGTTAGCTAAGATTCTGTTTTATTTTTGCAAAAGCATATTTATAATCTAACCCTCATTGCTGAATGATTTATCATTCATTAATGTATAATTTTTCTGTAATGTATAAATTAAGTTGTATAGATAAGCTTTGATTACTTTTAGGGCCACCTACCTTGATTCATCTGTCACTTTATAATTTAAGGTAATTTTAAAAATGAAACTTTTATTGGCATATATGTAAAATATATTACAATTCAATAGTTCAATCATACAGGATAATTTTTTAAGTTTTAAATATTTCCCAGTGCGATCTTAATTAAGAGCTAGAACTCTTAATAATAAAAGGCAAAAAGCTAATTTACTAGCTTAAGGAAAACAGAATCCAACACAGTATATGTACAAACAACTCAACAAAACTGAAAGGAGGAAAAAGTAAGCAGTTACTAGCAAGTGAAGGAGATGAATAAGCTGGAGACTGGGCAGGAACCTTGGTGGCATAATAGTTAAGTGTTGAACTGAAACCACAACATAAGCAGTTTGAAATCACTAGCCGCACTGTAGGAGAGAGAGGAGACTTTCTATTCCTGTAAAGATTTGCAGTACTTGGAAACCCACAGTGGCACTTTTACTTTGTTCTGTAGGGTTATTATGAGTCGGAATCTTGGAAACCCACAGTGGCACTTTTACTTTGTTCTGTAGGGTTATTATGAGTCGGAATTGACTCAATGGCAGTTGGAGTTTTTTTGTTTTTTTTAAGGGAGCTGGGTACTCTCATTTTCCCAGTTTAACAAGTTCAAACAACCAAACTTTCTGCTATCTAGTTGATTCCGACTCATAACAACCTTATAGGGTAGAGTAGAACTGCCCTTATGGGTTTCCAAGGAATGCCCCATCTTTCACCTGAGAGCAGCTGGTGGTTACAAACTACTAACCTTGTAATTCGAAGCCCAATGTGTAATCTGCTATACCATCTGGACTCCTTACATAGCAACTAGGAGGAGGAATTTTCCCCAATATCTGATTGGCCTAACTTAAGTGCTTATCTTTGAGCCAATTATGTGCCCAGAGTTATGAGAGCTGAAATATCAGGGTCCTGGTCATTTTGGGGGAAGTGGTTATGGGGAAGAAGGGATTAAGGAGGACCAGGTAAACCTCACCTGAACTGTGTGAATGGATTCTTCATGGGGAAGAAAGGGTTCTTTTAATAGACTTAACAGGAATCAAGTCTGAGCTGGAAAGAACAGATGTCCAATTTAGCTATATAATAAAAAAATTGGACCTCATTGAAATTTTTGTAATGTTGAATATTTGCATTCTGCAAAGCAGGTAACTAATAAATATATATCTCAGTATAATTTTGGAGTTTCTTCATAGTAAGTGTACATATTTTTTATTGACGGTATTTCTAAATATTATATATTTTTGCAATTCCCACACCCTCATTATATTTTTCTCATTTAGAAATAATTTCCAATGTAAAAGTTGTAATAATATAAAGAAGTCTTACAATTTTTAAAAAATTTATTTATTTTAATTCATTTTATTGGGGGCTCGTACAACTCTTATGGCAATCCATACATACATCCACTGTGTCAAGCACATCTGTGCATTTGTTGCTAGCATCATTTTTAAAACATTTTCTTACTGCTTGAGTCCTTGGTATCAGCTCCTCATTTTTTCCCCTTCCTTCCTCTCTCCCTCGTGAACCCTTGATGATTTATAAATTATTATAAACTCAGCTCCCTAAATCATCACATATGAACACACGCGTGCGCGTGCGTGCGCGGAGGAAAATTCCTTTTCTAGTTGCTAACCTAAGGCGCCCTGGTATCTCTATTTCCCTGCTCCACATTGTTTCAAAACACTTGTGATTTTGACATGTTTTTAAGACTAATGTTGGTGAGCATTTCCATGTGCTAATTAGAGCATTTGTAAAACTATGAAGAAATGTTTCTTTGACTCTTTTGCCCACATTTTAATTCATTTTCCTTTCTATTGTTGATACATACACATTCTTTATACATTTTTCAAAGAAGTCCTTTGCCATCATTTGCAAATATTTTCTCCCATTCTGAGGTGTCTCCCTTTTGTTGGTATCCTTTTATGCATGAAAAAAATTTGTTTGATGTTCAATTTATCTATATTTTGTTTGGTTTCTCCTCCTTTTTATGTTATTGCCAAGGAATCATTGTCTATCATAGAACCATGAAAATGAACTTTTTTTTCCCTACACATTTTATAGTTTCAGCTCAGATATTTAGCCCTATGGTCTGCTTTGAGTTAATTTTTTGTATGGTATATACACCATATGTTCCTGTATTGTTCATAAACTATAGCAGTAGCATATCATAAAGGTTATAGTGGACTTTCTTGTGCCGAACTTCCATGGAACTTTTTAGCTGTTCCATAAAAACAAACAGCTCACTGTCATTGAGTTGATTCTGACTCGTAGCTACCCTCCACAGGGTTTTTAAGACTATAAATCTTGAAGGGAACTGACAGCTTCATCTTTCTCCCATGGAGCCATTTGGTGAGTTTGAACCTCTGACTCTGTAGCTAGCAGTCCCAGCTTTTAACCAATAGGGCTCCTCCATAATAAGTATTATATAATCTATTAAGGTGGATATTGTTTATAATGTACAGAAAATGTGTTTTCTTCTTAGTCTTTTTCAATTATCTTTAGATGTTGAATATTACTGTTGTTTTAGACATCTATTACATTATGTGGTTTTCTTATTAGTTCTATAGATGTGACAATAATTAACTCAATTAAAAAGTCATTGAGTTCTTAGATTAAATCTCTTTGTTTCATTTTTATTGAATTCAGTCTGGCTGGTCATTTTGCTTATGATTTTTATGTCTTATTTTCATAAGTATGATTAGTTTACTTTTTAGCATGCTATGGTTTTGGGTTGTTTTTTTTAATAAATGCACAATTTTATTTATTTTAAGTTTAAATCCTTGAGGGGTACAGCATCACATGGATTCTATGTCCAGTAGCCTTAGCAGGCAGCTTGCTCTGGAATTTGGCCCGAACCATGCCAATTTCCATGAGCACGAGCTGATTTGTACACAGAAGCACTTCTCTTGCCTAAATAAAATTCCGTTTCATCTCAGGTGTAAATACCTTCAATTTTAAGAAGAGCCATGTGCTCCTTCTGGTTCCGTAGAGCCCGTTTATAGCCAGCAAAATTGGCCTAGGACACAGCCTTCCAGACATATTTGCCGTTTAGAAGTCCTGTTACCAGCAGGCTCCCAAATTTTCAGCAACTCTAATATGCTATGCTTATATGATCTTTTACTGGTTTATTATACTTAAAGAAAACCAATTGGGTAGCATTTTATTCTTTTGTATTTTACGACAACTCAACATTTGAAAGAATTTATTGCTAACATTGTCTACATGGCCTTTTAGAGGCAATTTTTTGATAATGTTAACATTTTCTAAAATTATTAATATAGTCTCATTTTTATTAACATATTTATTTAAAAATCTACATTAAAACCCAACCTTCTTTGAAGGTGTGCATCAAGTTTTTATCCTTTCACTATGCTTATACCATTTGCATGCTGGGCAAATGATCTGAGAAGCTCAACTCTATGAAGAAGAAGAGGAAGGCTCATTAATAGCTTATGATATGCAGGTAACTAAAGTTTGCTGAAAGCAGAGAGAATTTGATACACTTACTGATATAGATCAAGGATTGTAGCTTTGAGTATAGATTACAACTTGTGGTAGTTACATAATCTGTTGTCAATTTGAGGCAAGAGTGAAGGGGTAGAGTTTAGCTCGTCAATCAGGTTGCAGCTTGACCTAATTTGGAGAACCTGGGGAGAAAAATAGCTCGCTGGAGGTGGGACACAAGCTCACTCCCTTGGAGACATTGCACCTGACAAGACACATGGAGTTACACTAGTGCCCTAAGCTGGAGGAGCCACATGGAGTCCCCTGCCAGCACTGAGATGCTTACATAGCCACTGGAAAGTCCACAAGACCTTCCACTCACTGGCTGTGATCTTCCTGCATGCAGCGTTCCTGCATTGCATGTGTTTCATGAGTGTGAAGAGGAATTTATAGATTGGTATCAGACATGTGGGCTAATATCGGACTTACAGACTTGATCTGGACCAAGCTGTGTTTTCTCAATATTCAATTGCTCTTGGATATAAAGCTCTTTCTTATATACATGTGAGTGTCTCTGGATTTGTTTCTCTAGTCACCCGGACTAACACACAACTCAGTGTAAAGAAATAAAATATCCTTACTACTGGACCAATAGACAACATCATGATAAGCAGAGAAAAGCTTGAAGTTGTACCCACAATCAATGCCCATAGAAGCAGCAAAGAAATCAATGAACAAGCCTGCACCAAGAACCTCTTTAAAGTGTTACAGAGAAAAGATGTCACTTTGAGAACTGAGATGCACTTGACTGTAGCCCATGATATTTCCTATAACCTCATGTGCATATGGAAATTAGTCAGTGAAGCTGGTGCATTTGAACCACAGTGCTGGCAAAAACTATTGAAATTACCACAGACTGTAAAAGAATAAGCAAAGCTGTCTCAGAGGAAGTACCGGCGGAATCCTTCTTAGAAGTGAGGTTGCTAAGATTCATCTCATGTTTTTTGGATTAGTCCCTGAAAAAAGGCATCATGCTTGGTAAAATAGAGGGGCAGAAAGAAAAAAAAAAAGGAAAGTTCTTACAAAGCTCAAATGTAAGAGCTGTTGTGATGCTGGCACAGGGCCAGGCAGTGTTTAGTTCTTTTGTGCATGGGCTTGCCATGAGTTGGAATAGGCTTGACGGCGGCTGGAAGTACTTGATAAAGGATAAGGCTTTGTCTTATAACCTAAAGCATACCACCTTTGATGTGTCGTGACCTCTTTTTATTTAATTTGCCAATTTAAAAATTAACGCTTATTTTCTTTACCAACAGGAGTGAAACCTGGATCTGGTTGGGCTATTGACCCTTTTGGACATTCACCGACAATGGCTTATCTTCTAAAACGTGCTGGATTTTCTCACATGCTTATCCAGAGAATTCATTATTCCATTAAAAAACATTTTTCATTGCATAAGACCCTAGAGTTTTTTTGGAGACAGAATTGGGGTATGTAGGGTTTGATTAAGTTGACTTTAAAATTGTCTATATCATTTGACATGATGTTTCTCAGGGCTTATGAACTCGTGACATTATGGATTTTATTCAGAGTATTAGTCTTGAAAACCCAGTTGCATAAATATGTTGTTGTTAGGTGTGACTGAGTCAATTTGACTCATAGCAGCCCCATGTGGCAAAGTAGAATTGCCCCTTATGTTTTCTAGCCTGTAATTTTCATAGAAGCAGATCAGATCTGCAGGTCTTTCCCCTGTGGAGCCACTGCATGGGTTTGAACCACCCACCTTTTAGTCAGTAGTAGAATGAATGCTTAACCATTGTTCCACCAGATACACCCAGTGATCACATTTATCTATAGAACGTTCCAGTTTTTTTTTCATATCTAAAGGAAGTATGGGATAATAAAGCATATCTAATGCTTTTGTTTGCTTCTGTTTATAAAGCATATGTTTTACCGTAAAATTGAAAATGCAGTTAGTTGAACATGACTTATTACTCATTGCTTCATATTCTGTCAGCATTTCTTCCTTCTGTCTCTTCTCTGTATCTTGTTAGAATTGCTTTTGAAAACCTTAATTATGTTCTTCTAGAGAGCCCTCAAGTTACCTGTATTGCTTGCTTATTCACTGTCTTCTTTAGACACCTAAGCCTGTATTTGGCCTAAGTATATGCCCCTGCAGCACTTCCATGGGTAGATAGAGAAGATTAAACTTTGCCTTTCTTAACTCCCTGTATTTGAGAACACTATTATTTTATTTACTAAATCCTTTTTGTCGGGCATGCATTGTGTTCTATGTCTTAATTTTCATGGTCATCCCTTTATGAAAATAAAGAGAGATGTAGGTAAGTGAAGCTATTTGCCAAAAGCAGCACAGTTTACTTAGCAGTGATTTGAACCCAGTCTTTGTAATTCCACAGTCCAGGCACCTGAAGAATGGCATTGCTGCCCTCAGAGTTCTCAGTAAGATTCCATCTAAATAGGGGATCCGGGGCTACACTTTGGAAAAACTGCTGCACATCGTACTGGCTCTTTCCGCTGCTATCTGAAGCCCCTTAAGTGTTCATAGAAGTCATTTGTAATTCTTCTGCACAGTAACTTTCTTATATGTGCTGCTGTGTAGTTAAAAAAATTTTTCCAATAAGGAACTGGATTAGCAACATCATTTTTTGTTCAGAAAACCTGTAGGAGAAACTAAAACCTGTGTGGTGGTTGCATCTTTGTTGGAGAAGCATGTTATTTTTTTAAAAGAAAAAAGATGGTAAATTTGAAGAAGTCCCTTTCAACCAATGCCTACATTCAAATTACCTGTAAATATCAATTCGTGTATAAGAAATTATTGAGCCCCCCTTATGCACTTGAGTGCTCTGCTGGGAAGAAATAATAGAAAGCACCCTTGTCTATAAGGACATTGTAGTATAATTTGAGAAAAGTCACACAAGTGCTGCAAATAAAATGAAATGTATAAATGAGTTTCTAAATAAAAGTAGTAGAGCATTGAGTATATCTCTGGACTGGAGAAAGGAGGAGGAAGTTGTTTTAGCTTTGGGACTTGTGACAATCTCTAAATCTGCAAGCATTAGTGACGAGTATTCATGGTGTCACAGTGTGAATGTGACTCAGTGGGTGAAACAACTGACGGCTACAGAAATATATAGCCCATAATAGTTTTGCAGTGTAGAAAATAATTGGTTGTTATATCTACTAACGAGTATAAGAGAAAATGAGAATATGTTCTAATTTATCTGATGGGAACGTTGCTATAAAAAATGTAGGATTAAGTTGGGCTTCCTTGTGTGTCTTAAGCAGTTCTTATATAAAGTTTGCATTTTTCTTATGTAAAGATTGCATTTTTTCCCTTTGTCTTTATTATATGAGCAATGTGTACTCATTGCTGAAAAATGAAAACTCATATATAAAGCAAAGGAGGTGGGTGGAGGGATTACTTAAGTCTAAGATCCTACTCACAAGATAACCATTGTTAATCACTTGTTAGTTTGCCAGTTCACTTGGTGGTTAGCTTCTGACCTCCAGGGCAGTGATGTCAACACATGCTGCCATCTAGGTTTTAATGAAAAACATTCTGCATCAAGATTCAGCTATTGTTTTCCATATTTCCATCTTCCTTCCTTTGCTTTTGCTGTCCTCTTTTCTTGGTAAAAAGCCCCATTGACTCCTTATTGGAGAACTCCGGGAGAGGCTTCGTTAACTCTCTTGTGTTGCATCTCCTTATTGCAAGAAGGTAGTAGGATCATCTTAAGTGTTTTAATAAGCCCAATTGTTCTTGCCCACACCACTCCTTTCTTCTCATTTGGTCTTTGCTGTTTGCTCAGTGTGACCTGCTACCTGAGAGGAAACAGATTTACAGGACCTAGATGTGACCATGGTTTTGGATCGAACCATTTTTTAACTTTTGCTTCTGTTCTGTTTGTATCCATCTAGGTCATCGAATGATGGCTCATGTCTGTGCTGTGTTTAGATACCAGCTAGAGACTGAGATGTGTAGATACCTCAGGGCAGCTTCCAAGACCCACTGCTATAGAGTCATTTCAGATTTATAGCCACTCTATGGGCCAGAAAAGAACTGCTTCTTTAGGGTGTCTGAGATTGTAAAGCTTTAAAGGAGCCAAACTCAAATCAAACTCACTGCCATTGAGTCAATTCTGACTCATGGTGATTCTATAGGACAGGGTGTTTCTGAGACTAACTCTTCACTGGAGCAGAAAGCCTTATCTTTCTCCTGAAGAGGGTGGTGGATTTGAACTGCTGACTTGGGGATTTGCTGCCCAACAGGTAACCCACTCTGCTTGCTAGGGTTTCTTTAAAGAAGCAGGCAGCCTCATCTTTTCCCTTTGCATTAGATTAGGGTTTACCTGCTGATTTTGGAAGTTAATGGACCAGTATTTAACCCCCTCCACCAACACAGATTGTAGTGGCCGTTAAATGCTACTGGTGGATGTTGTTAGGTATGCTCCAGTCAATAATGACTCTGGGTGAACTTACAGAGCAGAGCAGTCCTGTTGGAGTTTTAGGCTGTAATCTTTACAAAAGCAGGTCACCAAGTCTCTTGCATATGGATTGACTAGGCCTGTTCACACCTTCAACCTTTAGGTTAGTGGCTGAGTGCTTAAGTCCTGAGGCTGTTGATTCAGCCTGTAGCTTGCATTGTACAAGTAGAAAGCTCTGAGCTCTGAACAATTTTTGGGAAACCACATTTTAAATATACACGTTTGTCTGCTGACTCTTTATTTCAGATATGGGATCTGTCACAGATATTTTTTGCCACATGATGCCCTTCTACAGCTATGACATCCCTCACACTTGTGGACCTGATCCTAAAATATGCTGCCAGTTTGACTTTAAACGGCTTCCTGGAGGCAGAGTTGGTTGTCCCTGGGGAATCCCCCCAGAAACAATCTATCTTGGAAATGTCCAAAGCAGGTATGAAAATGTGCATTTCCTAAGACAGCATCTTGAATTAAGGGAGAGGCTGAACATTGGTTGCTGAAGGGTTCAGTAAAGGGGCTGCAGGAATTGCCGTTATACTTGTTCAAGATTTTCATTCAAACCATATCTAAAGCAACTCTAAAATACCAGCGCCTTGACTCTACCTCTTATGTGTTATAATGTAATGCAGAGTGAGCAATAGTATATCAATACACAATGGATAACCTATAATACACTGTTATTACCATCTCCTTTACCCTCACTATAAAAGCTTTCTGCTGCGTTTGATTGACTTCATATACTTTTGTTGATAATAAAACTTCTGGTCCCTATTATACAAATTGGTAAGAAAAGCAACTCAACTGCAAAAATACATTTATTGAAATGGAACACATAAAGAGTGTAATTATCTATTCCCTTAATAACACTTTCAATAATAGTGAATGCTGCCCAGCTCTGATGAATACACGTTTTTTGCATCTTTCTGATTTTTTTGATATTTAAGGAAATTTAAATAAAAATGGAAGGAATGAAACTTTTTTTAAAGAAAATTGTGCTAATTATGGAAGCATCTCATTAAACCATGTTACCTAGAGCTTGTAATTTTCATGCTTTTAAAGTTTAATTTCTTCACTTAAAAATTAGTAGTGTACAATGACTTAAAATAAAACATTGTATTGTACTATCGAAGCACTCAATTCTGCTATTAAATTAATAAAGCCTTTTAAGTACAGTAAGCTCGTAACACTATCAAATCTACGTATTGAAAAATTGAAAAGAAAAACAATGTGTGTGAGGGGCCACTTTGCCTTGAGGGAGTCTGTGGACTTCGAGGACCTTCTCCAGTGAGCCTGTCACTGTCCTAGTCACCAGAGCATTTCAGCTTGGGAGCCTGCTGCATGCCTGGGGCCTTTCTCTCGTCAAGGTGTATTTGAAAAGCTCTGTGCAAGGTTAGGAAGCAACCTAGTGTTTTTTTCTTCACTCTTACAGCAGCGAGAACGTTTGAGGCGTTTGAGATTGCCTGCTTTCTAGGTTTACTAGTTAGGCCAAACCAAACCCACTCTCGATTTTGATTCATAGCCGTCTTATTTAGGGTTCTGAGACTGATGCTTTATGGAAGCAGAAAGTCATGTCTTCCTCCCGCCTAGTGGCTGATGGGTCTAAATTGCCAACCATGTGGTTAGCTGTCCAATGTTTACCAGATGTTACCGCAAGAGCTAGAGGCTCAAGAGAAAAAAAAGTATACATTCTGTGAGCTATTGTGTAAAGAAAGGGTCTCCTTGCTGTCTGGGAAAACAGTTGTTTGTCAATCAGGCATTTACTAAGGAAGTCAGAGGTGGGGAACATTCTCAGGCTTATTAAAGTGCTCAGATGGAAGTCCCAGTGTATTTTAGAGGTTACTATGCTAAGATACATTATTTGGTTGGTATAACCCTTTTGCCATAATTCATGACTTTTTAAAGACTGGGCCTCAGGAATGCACTTTGCATTCAGTTCCAGTGATTGTGAACATGGTTTCCAGGCACTTGAACGCTTCAGGACGCATGAATCTTTGTAACAGACTTTTTTTTTTAACTTCCTAAAAGTCTTGAATTTTAATTTTCATGGTTAATTCTTATCCAGACATCACCTCCATTGTTTTCTTCAGTGACCTGCTTATGACTGGAGATCATAAGTACTTGCATTCTAGTTTGGCGGCATTTTCCATCTTTAAATAACACTAAAGAAAATGAGGTTTTCTTATCAGATACACATACAGATGACATAATCTGATATGTCCAGTTCAGCAGGTTCCTCTGCTTTGCAACAAAGAAATACTCAACAAGTCTGTTTTTTGGCCTAGAGCCATGTATTTTAAGTTGACTTTGCCCGTTGAATTTTGTTTGATTTGATGGTTCAGGAAAACTTTTATTTCTATGGTTCTGATGGAGATGACATTTCTTACCTGGTAGAAAATCTGAAGAGAAGATTGTTGCTCCATATCTTTAAATGTGATGTCGACTGATGCCAAAGGGTTAGCTTGTGCCCAGCGTGGGCATTTTCTGGGCAGGAGCCAGAGTGAAGAGAAGATAGATGCCAAATGTAAATAAAAGATATTCCACATATGTTTGTTCCTCTGTCTGTACTTTACGTGTACATGCATGAGAGATGAGGATAGTATGTATATGTAGTAGCAAACCATGGGATGCATTTAAGTGCTCAAGATGGAGGTTCAGTCATAGTGTACCTCTTCTGTGATTTCAATTTTTGATATTTTTTTCCCTGTTTCTTTTGGCTTACTTTGTTTTTCGATGTGCTTGATTTCATATGTATGTTTTCTGTTGTAAGTTAGAATTCAGAATTGTTTTTAGTAAGTGTGGAGTATAAGGAAATTACTTACTGTAAGAAAATCAAATACTGTAATGAATGCTAATCTCAGAAAAGAAAGCAGCATATGTTATGTAGGCACATTGTAGCTATATTTTAGTTACCAAATACTACGTTGTTGCTGGTAAGTTAATATTTGCCAAGGAGGAGTTTCAGACATCACCAATTTCGAAAGATCCAATAAGCTTCTTACACTAGCTACATGTTTTCCCATAATTTCTATAAAATGCCTTTTTTTCTAGCATTGATGTTTTTGAAGTGCCTTCTGAAGTGTTTGTATCCTAGATTTAAGTTTACTTCTAGGAAATACTTGAGGCGAAAATTGGAATGTTGGGTCAAAAGCCCGTTTGACGTTTATCACTCATTTCTTTTTCAAAAGCCCTTCCTTTTAGTCTGTTTGTGTTCCCTTACTTCCTCAAACAGTGCCCCAGTTCAGCATTTTCCAAAAGTTATTCTTCCAAATACTGGAATATGAAATCTAAAAGCTCTTCCATCACATCAGCACATTGTGTTTGGCTGGCCTTTTGCATCATGGGTTAGAGCCTTGGGAGGTAGAAACCAAAGTAGATGCTGACTCAGCCCCCCAGCATTATCTGCTGATCAGGATTGAGAAGGTTGCTGTGACAAAAATAACTCAGACTATTGGTGGCAGGTATTGTGTAAATAGATCTTTTTTTTTTTGGAAGAAAGTATGGTTCTATAAAATGTTAAGTCATTTTTGATCGATTAAGGCAAAACAAACATTCAAGTTTTATATATGTGTTAGTCTAGGTAGACTAGAGAAACAAAATTCATAAGCACTCATTTTATGAGAGTTTTATATAAAGGGTAATTGTACATTAAGTATCCCAACCCAGTCCAGTCCAAGCCCTTAAGTCCAACATTAGCCCATATGCCCAACTCCAATCTACAAAGCCCTCCTCAATCTCACAAAACACATGCAATGATGCCAAATGCAGGAGGAACGCCGAATCAGTGAGCTTGTAAGCATCTCAGCGCTGGCAGGGGTCTCCACAAAGCTGCTCCAGCATCCAGGACTGCATCAGCGTAGGTCCATGTGGCTTCCTCTCAGAGTTGTCTCACAGGATGTGAGCCTTGCCAGCTGAGGCACAGAACTAGCTAAGGCAGCCGCAGCTGGTCCGACCATCAGAGAGCAAGAGACCAGACATGCTGGGCTCGCTGAGCCATTTATCTCTCTGCCTTTCAATTAATCGCACATGTGGTCATCGGCCAGGTTAGCACAATAAACTTTAACTATCACATTATAGAAGAGAGATTCTTTTTTGTCTTCTTGAGTTAAATTATGAAAGCATGGGTTCGTCTGGGGTCCACACTCTGGCTGGGATTTGGAAGAGAGAGTGGTAATCGTATTTCTTTAAGAATAATCTATTGGAATTTATTGGCAGACAATGCTAAAAGGCAAATTATTCCTTTTGAAAGGAATTTAATATTTTAAGTAGATGCTGATAATTGGTATAATTAAAAAAAGAAATGCCTGCTTTATAAATGATGTTAGTCAAAAATATAACTGGACTCCTCAGTACTTTCTTTCTAATCAGCTGTGCCCCGTTTCCCTTTCTAAATGGTGTTCCTATTTTCCCTTTTTTCTTTTGTAGGGCTCACATGCTACTAGATCAGTACCGAAAGAAGTCAAAGCTTTTCCGCACTAAAGTGGTCCTGGCCCCACTGGGAGATGATTTCCGCTACTCTGACCGCACAGAGTGGGATCAGCAGTTCAAGAATTATCAACTACTTTTTGACTACATGAATTCTCAGCCTCAGCTTAATGTTAAGGTAATACAGAAACCTGTACTTAGACGACACTGTACTGGAAGGCAAGCCTTCCTTAACTGAAGTTAGCAAAATCTCCTCAATCTCACTGGCCAGTATTCCATTACTTCCTAAATGCATTCTTGTTATGTCACAGGATCGTTCATTCAGAAGAACATTACGTTGTCCGACAGTCCTTCCAAGAGTCCCTCTCCTACCCTTCCTGGGGGAGTTTCGACGTATCACTTTTCAGTTGTATGGAAGCTACACCTACAGAGTGATGAATTTCAGCTTTTTTAGTGATGGCCTCTATTTCTCCCAGCATTGGAAGTTTATTGTTTCCCCCAGACAGTTGCATCCTTGTGATTTAGTAGTGTGACTGGTAGATGTAGATGAACCTGTCATGAATCTTACAAACAATTTTCCTGTGTCCAAGGATGATGCTAGCATTTTTCATAGGTGAGGAAGACTTCAAAATTTCATCATTGGACTGTGGTTGAGAATAACACAAATAACCCCATCCCCCCCCGCCCCCCCACCACCCGCAATGTCCATGACTCACCACAGTTATCAACTCAGGCCACTCTTACTTGTTTCAGTAGTGAAAAATTATTCCATCTACAAAGTCTTACAAATAAAAGCAGTTTGATGTGGTATTACAGAGGCAGCACGAGTCCTGAATGATGAGAGTGGCATTGTCAAACTGTACTCCGCATCAAGCCACCGTAGCTTTGGAATGTGTCGGTGCACCCTAATTGTCAGTATTACTTTAGGGTTTGTGTTTTTTGGTATGATTGGCTAGGCTATTTTTGGGTTCTAGGAAAGCTGAAGAATTTTGCCTACATAAATCAGTGGTAGTTGATTCTTCACTTTATGCCCTTTTAGCTTATAAAGGGCTTCATAAGAATGCACTGCTTTTGGATACCAGGGGAGATCTGTGTTTCATTTTTATTTTTGATGCACTTTAGAAGTCCTGTATGAAAAAAGTAGTTATCCATTATGTTTTTCAACCTCATATTCATGGGGAAACCTGTGAGAGCTGGAACTCAGTGGGCCTTCCCTGTGTTTCTAGGTCTCTACTACTTTGCTCTCTATGGGGGGAAAATATCTGAATTTTCTTTCTCTGACAGATTTCTGCCTTACATAGGTTCCACCTTTTGCAGGTTTCACTGTATTGACCTGTTAAGCAGTAGAAGACCTGTGAACATACTGTAGAAAGAAAGTGATATTATAATATAGAAAATCAGAAAGCTGTCAATGGACCAGTAACTTTATCAAATAAATAAATAAACATAAAGTATCAAGTTTGCCCAAGATATTGAAACTTGAAGTTCTACTACATTATGAACTCTTAAGTATAGGGGGATGATTAAAACATCTGTGTGTTTTTGTGGGTACACGTTAATGCCTTTCACTGGCTAAACGAAGAAGAAAGAAAGAAAGAAACAGACCCATCGCCTGGAGTCGGTTCCCACTCACAGTGACCCTGTAGGTCAAAGTGCACCCTGCCCTATAGGGCTCCTCTGAATGTCTGAGGCGGTAACTCTGTGGGGCCAGAAAGCCTCACCTTTCTCCTGTGGATTGGCTGGGGCTATTAGCAACCCAGTGCATAACCCACTATGTCATTAATGCTTAAGGCTGCTCTAATAAAATACCATAAAAACAGGTGGCTGATAAGACCAGAAATCTAGTGATTCACAGTTCTGGAGACTAGGAGTATAACATCAGCGTGTTGGCATTGGTGGTTCTTCCCGAAAGTTTGATGAAAATCTCTGCTCAGTCTCTCTTCTAGCTTCTGGTAATCAGAGTTTTTTGATTTACAACTACAGCAATACAAGATATCTTTTTTTCCTCTCCTCTCCTCTCCCCTCCCACCTCTCTCCTGTTTTCTCTTTTATAAGAACACCCGTCATAAAGGTGTAGAATAACTAAGGGATAGATGTACGCTGTGGTCCAAGATGACCTCATGCTAACCTAACTGATAGTATTTTCAAAAATGAACAGGATCTTGTTTACAGGTACAGGGATTAGGACTTTGATATATCTTTAGGAATACAGTAGTTCGATCCATAACCCTGGGGAAATGGCTTTGGTATTTATTGGAGGGGTCTTCTACCCGTTTTTGAGAAATTAGATCCTGATTTTAATATTTTAGCATATTCTTGTCCGAACAATTTTAAAATATTTTAAATTGAGGTGTAACATACCCAAGAGAGTACACTAATCACAAATATATTTAATTTTGGCTTAAAATCCCTCCCCCCCACATTGTGAATGTCAGTATCATCACCCCCCAGATCAAGAAGAAGTGTGCTCAGGTGTCTTCCTGGCCCTTAGCACCCCTGCAAAGCGTAACTCTTCTACTTGGGGCACCATGATTACTGTTGCCTGTTTTTAATATCCTATGAAGAAAGTTATTCAGCAAGTGCCTTTTTGTGTCTGGCTTTTGGTTCCAGATTATGTTTGCAAGATTCATCCACATTGCTGCTGTAGTTCATTTATTTTCAATGCTATTGAGTATCTATAGCATCCATTTAATAAATATTATCACGCTTTCTATTCTAATGTTATTGATATTTGGGTTGATCCTGCCTATTACAACTAAAACTACTTTGAACATTTTTAGCATGTTTTCAGTATACATTTTCATGAGTTTATATTAGTATAAAATGGATGGATTTTTTTGATTATAGGGTTTGTAAGTGTTCTTCAATTGTAATAAGTATCGCCAAGCAGTATTCCAAAGTAGATTACACTGGTTGTTGCATTGTCTGAAGACTTTTGGTTGCTCCACACCCTTACTGTTGGGGTACCGACCCCCAACAGTCAAACGGGTTCTTACGAGTGACTTTGCGATTATGGAAAAGAATACAGATAGACAGCAGGGCACCAAGACTCCTTGTCCCTATGTTAGGACCAAGAGAGAGAATGTTTTTTTCCAATAGCTGTATATAATCGTGGGGCTTACAAATCTTTCAAAAGCGTACAGGTAATATAGTGAATAAGTAACATAGTGAATGAGTATTAGCATTAACATAATGAACAGGCAATGAAGTGAGTCAGTGTCTAGACCTAGAATGATCCTAATCAGAAAGAGACGTCAGAGGAGGATTTGCTACCCTTTGGGGTGGGACAGGCAATAGAATCTGATTGTTCTTATCTACAGACAACCTCTAGGCACAGTGAATAGCCAGATTCAAGAATGATACATCTTTTATGGTAGCTCCTTTATGACAATCCCTTTATTGGGGGTGCGGGTTGGGGGCTGGGGGTTGGAGGGACTGTGTTCACTCATGAGAATGTATATTAAGATTTATTTATATCTCATAGGGTGAGGACCTTCCCCAACTGGAGGTGGCTTTCCAGACCTGTAATTATGAGCATAGAGGATTTAGCTGCATTACATTCTCATCCAGTCCCTCAGTTTACCACACCTTACTCAGACTTTGTATTATTAATTTTTTGGTTAGTGAAGTTGTTTCCTTTTTATCCATTCTGACAGGTGTAATGTTTTTATTTTGTTTATGTATAATTCAGTGATAGTGATTATGTTAATTTTCACCACCATCTGTGTCCAAATTATTTTATCTCCGTGCCTCACTGGACAATGAATGACAACCACCACGTTCCACCCCTTCATTTTTTTCCTCCCTTTCACTTCTGGTAACCACTAATGAACTTTGGTCTTCTCTTGCCTGTTATTGATATTTCATGTAAGTGAGATATTATACAATACTTGTGTATGTGTATAGAATGTGGACGTGCTAAAGATCAAGGTACTACTGCAAAATGTGGTGAAGAAAAGCAGATGGTGCCCAGCTATCAATTGGAATAGTGTCTTGTGTCTTAGAGGCAACCGTCAAGTGAGGCGTCAACTAAATCCGTATCAAAGAAGCATACCAAACTCTGTGATCCAAAGATAATGCTAGCAAAACCAAATACAATGAAGCGAAACGTATCAGAGCATACATTTTTGAACACCCAATTAGTAGAGGGCTATGGAGGACAGTAGAAACCCAGAATCCATCTGCAGAGTATCTAGTCAGATTAAGCTCTGGCAGATCCTGTCTGGCCACAGGTACGGGACTCAAACAGCTTCACACAGAGATTGTTGCAAACCTGATTATGATGGATTGAATCCCCATGGTATAATGTGGTACTTGGTCGCTGGACCTCCCTCTTGACCCAACCTGAAATTGCTCTAGGCTTAAAATATTTCTTCATTGTTCCATGACAGAAATTTTCTCTCTGGCTTTTAAAATATTGTTGATGGCCTTTTTTTTCTTATCCTTTATATTTATTATATATGTATTTGTATTTTCTTTCTGTTTCATTTTTCTTGCGTTCAGTACTATTTCTTCCAGCTTGTTTGTGAATTTTTAATATATCGTTTTATTAGGGGCTCATACAACTCTTATCACAATCCATAAATACATGAATTGTGTAAAGCACATTTGCACGTTCTTTTTTTGTTGTTGTTTTTTAATCATTTTATTAGGGGCTCATACAACTC